GCAGCGATAATAGAACACACAAACGAGGATATGGTTTTTTTTTTGACGCACTCTCTTGTTGGGCTGAAATATACAGAGACCACTCGCAGGTCGGAGTCGCGGCCAACGCTCGAGGTCTCGCATTCCCAAGCAAGCTGAAAGAAACCCTCGGGCTCGGACGGCCGCTAACGGAAGTGCGATAACCTGAGGGTGCGATGACGATCGCCTTGTATTCCCCGAGAGCTCCCACCCCGCCGACTTTGGGAATTTGGGTCTGGGGTTCCTTGCGCTCTAGAGCTGTTCTACCCACCTTGGTGTGCCGTACCATTGGTTCCGAGGCGGTATTTGCGCGGCATCGCGCGCGTCATCTGTCGAAGGAAAATTGAGGCACCGTCCGCAGCTCCTGCCTGGTGGTCATCCATGTCCGCCACCGCCAGAATCTGCGCCCCGCGAGAACAAAAGACCGTCTATGTCAGCTATTATGTACGCGGAAATGTCTTTTGGTTTGACGTAGGAGGAGGATGAGGACTGCTTACGCGGTCCAGATCGAAACAGCAGGTAGCTGTACTACATGCATAGGCGTATTATGTATGCTACGGATGTAGGCAAGAAATTGAACTGCAGTTAGCGCTGTGAGCGCATGGATATCTCAGGGGAAAGAATAATTCAGAAGGCTTTACCCTGCGTGGAATGAAAATGGACCACCTCAACTAGGGCTCACTGGAATTATTGACGCGCCATTTACCTGTGCTTGGTTGTGATTAGGGGTGATCCATTCTTAGCTCGTCGTCTTAGGCTTGATCCTACGCCCACGGTGTCAAGGTCGCATATCATTCCAGCACATTGAACTGCCAATAATAATTATTTACGGGACGAGACGAGACGACGAGCTAAGAATTGATCACCTTTATGGTCCGAAGAAGATCCCTCACAATTTTGGGTGCGTCATGCAGGCAGGAGCAGTTGCCAGTGCAGTGAAAGAACTTAGGGGTCTGTTGCTGCCAAAATTCCCCAATGCAACTCGGGGTGCCAGGCTTGCCAGAACAGTTATCAGTGTATCGCAGTGAAAGAGGAAAATAGAATGTATACAGTGCTAGTATAAATCAAGGCATGAGCTAAGTGCTACATAGCAGAATTTAAACGTTCGGTGCGAGGTGCATGCGGGCTTGTTGCTATTCTGAAATTCAGAGTCAAAATGTTGATCGGGTCTGAGTTAAAAAATTCCTGGTACCGGTTTAGGTCCAGGTCTACTTTCTGAATTCACATTCTAAATGTCAATCAATGTCACGTCACTCGCTCCTTTTATGGGTTTTTCGCCTTTTTTGGACATCCCACTCCGGCCACTCGGTACATTTCGCATCCGCCCCTGAGCCTTTTTGGGAAGTCCTTCCCGTTTGGGTTGGGCCGGCCGGAAGTTGGCATCAGCGGCAATTGTGACTGACAAATGCTCATCACTCTCCCTCCACCTCCACCATCGTCCCGCTCGATACTCTCCTTCCCACCTCTGTCGCATCGCGGACACTACCCGACCCTCGGACGGCCGTCGCCCGGCCAACGTAATCCATCACGAAGCTCGCCATCCTCGCCGACGAGACACCCGCCCCGTTTGACCATTCTCGAGGCTGCTACCCATCGCCAAAGTGTCTACGTAGTACCAGCAGCTGTCACTCCCGCCCTGTCGCCCTCGCGCGCTACTGTCCGCAGCAGCAGGCGCCTCCAGTCTATCCCCTCGACAAGCACCGCGTGTGAAAGAAGAGCCACCGCGCACGCAGCGAGGACAGCGACGACGACGAAGGGACGAGGTCCAAATTGTCAGTGAGTGTTGTGTCATCAAGGTCGAGCCTTGCACGCCCCCGCCAGCAATACTCTCATATCTCCAGTGCGCGCATCACCCTTTTCGTCAGCGGCTCCCGCCTGGCACCCGTCGCCAGTGGCTCGCGCCTCCTCCTGCCTCTCGCTCATCGTCATTCCCGGCAGTCCCATCCTCCAAGTACGTCAAGCTCGCGCCGTGTCTCCGTCGCCGCCGCCGGTCGGCCTGCAGCTCATCGACAGCGCCTTCCGCCTCAATCTATAGCCTATCCCCTCCCATCTTCCTGGGCCTCATATCCCCGCGTGCTCTGACCTCGTCGCCTGATCTCCCATTCTCCCTTCCCTATTGGAGCATTTGTGCATTATTTGTACTATCTTGATTTGTATATTCTCAGTATTGCATCCTGCGTACTTGTAGCTATATCATGTACCCATCTGTACCTAGAAATGAACATTGTTGGAAAGTGAACAGGTTGAGGAACTAAGGAGAATATCATACCCTTTGTTTTGTACGCCCTACAGTAATTTCAAATAGAGGCGGCTTCTCGGCTGAATTTCACTGCCGGCTTTCGGCCGGCCCAACCCAAACGGGAAGGACTTCCCAAAAAGGCATAGGGGTGGATGCGAAAATTTTGCAACTCACTCCGGCTATTTCGGGCCTCTGATTCCCGGCCCCACTTCGCATAGTTTTCCTCCAGCCCAACAAAAATTCTTGAGTGAACTCGAGGTCAACTGGAAAAACTCACCCCACCATCATCTGGCTACGTCTCATGCGTGGGCCAATTTGAGCTGGTCGACACTTTGCGTCGACCGAGCGAACTTTGGGCTGCGCAATATTAATCAACTAAAAAATCAGAAAACAAATGTCTAGCCTGTCAGTCTGGCCAACATCTTTCAGGCGGTACCAGGGGTGTCCGGAGGGCCTTTTGAATTTACAGGGTTTCCTGAAAATAATGGCAACAACAATTTTTTTTCTCGGGCTTCCCAGTTTGGAAGTTCCAAATAAGGCAGTCGCGCGTTCGATTCTCAGCATGTGTGTATTTTTGTTTTTGTGTGATTTTATAGTTCTGGCCATTACTGACTGGCATTTGAAGCCATTTCAAGCTGAAATGTCCCAAACCTGAGAAAAAAAAATTGTTGTTGCCATCATTTCAGAAAAACCGTGGCTCAGAAAGTCTACTGGCAACAGTGCGAGACTTGGGAGACTTGGGAGACTTTGAGAGACAAGTTATATAAGCATCAAAAATTAATTAGCCAAGTCATGTACCACCAACTCCTGCCGCATAAAATCTGAGAATACCTCTCGGGCTACGCGCATCACAATGTCCTTCATGGACGAAATCTTCAGTTCCTCAGCGAGGTTCCCGGGCTCAAAGAAAGTATTGGAATGGACAAGGCAATGTTGTTCGTCCACCTTGCATTGCTGAGGAAGATCCGTGGGACGACGAGAGCGATGGTAACAGCAAAGACGGGGGTGGATTCGCACGCAAGCAGTGCTGACTGGGATGTTGTGAAGCTCAGTGGGAACACAATAATGCAGCGGGGGACTTGTGATGCGGCGGGGAGCATGTAGCAGCCCAATTTGGCAGCTGCACATTCCGGCAGCACTTGGGGATGAGGTCGTCCATGCCTGAGCATTTCTTGATGCCGAGGCCAGACACAGCGACCACAAGTAACACAAGAATAGGGCAGCCTTGAGGATGACAGGCTTGCAGTTGGCCTCTCTGAAGATGAGGCAGTGGAAAGACATGGCTGGGACAGCGGAGGCATGGGAAGAGGTAGCTGGGAAGGCGCAAGCATCACACTGGGAGCAAGGACCAACACACTTGGGTCCCAAGTGCGTTACACGCACTTGACACCCATTTTGTTGGTTGATGTAACAAAGGTTCCAAACACCTTTGTTGCTTTGTTTTCGGGCGTGAATCAAAGCCAAAAACAAAGATGCAACAAAGGTCCTTTGAACCTTTGTTGCATCAACCAACAAAACACAGGCCAAGTGCATGTAACACACTTGGGACCCGAGTACGTTGGTCTTTGCCCCCAGTGTCACCAACATCAGGTCGATCCAATGGAGCAAATGAGATGGCAGTGAGTGTCATGAATCGCCTGGGTTCTACTTTTTTCGCATGACGTGTCTGTACCACAGACGTGTCTGCATCACGGGACTCTCATGACGCGACCACAGGACCTTCTCACGGTTGAAACCCGATCGTGGGTTTCAAAGGACATGAACGAGAGAAGACGTTAAGGGTTATAGAACCCACACAGTCGATTCCCCTAACCCTCCGACGCTACATACAGGAGCCTGATCGCGGGCTTCAGGGACCAAGATATTGGAAGACGTTAAGGGTTAGGAATACCGCACCATCGGTCCTCCTAACCCTCAGACGTTATGGTGATAACACACAGGGGATAGGAGCATCACGCATTAATGCTCCTTAACGTTGCTACACAGGAACTGATCACGATCACATTAATTTATTTGTAATGTATATAAACATGGTAGAATCTCCTTGTACAGTAGATTCTACCTCATCTAATCTCAGGCTTCTGCTTTGGCTTGACTTAGGGATTGTCTCCACCCTGTCCCACTTCCCCTCCATTTTATTGCGGGTTGCGTCCACACCCTGGGTATTATACCTGAGTGGATATCATACCCTGTTCGACTCGTTCCAGGTTCCGCCTCACATCCTGACCCACAATATACGGCCTCCTAATGAGGAGTCCATTCAGTTGGTCTTGCTGCTCGGGGACCGTACCAGTTATTAGCAGCTGTCGGGTTTCTCACTGGGTTGCTCATTGTTTAGCCGACCCAGAGGCCGTTGCTAACAGTGAGGGGGCCCAGTCACATGGGTCTTCAGCGTCATTTGGAGGAAGGAAGGGCGGGTCTCTGTGATTTGTGGGAGCTCCAGGCAAGCTTGTACGTGACCTTGGGACTAGGCGGGGGGACTTGACGAAGCAGTGAGCAGGAACAGGCGAGGATGTAACACTTTGTAACATATCCGGATTGGGTAGGCAGATCAATCAGGTCTATAATCAGCCCGTGGGAAAGTCTCTGGCTGTCTCTTGAGTCTCCCAAGTCTCCGAAGACTTTCTCATATACATTTTTTCTCCATTATTTTCAGGAAACCCTGTGAATCTTCACTATAACAACAAATTCTTGGACAGACGGATGGCAGAAGAGTCGGAAGATTGCAAAATACCTCAAAAAGGGGCCGAACCGGGAATTGAACCCGGGACCTCCTCGATCAGGATCGCGTGACGTCGATCACGCGTTACCCTAACAAGGAATCATACTACTAGACCATCCGGCCAACACAAGAAATCTTCAATTATTCTTATAGAATGCCAAGGTCAAATGCCCTCTGTAACCTTTTCCTGCCAGGACCCCACCATGGCCAGGGCCCATGCTGAAGGACCCAGAGAGTATGGCCAGGATGTCGGACTCTCTTTACCAACCTGTGGTTTCTTTTCTGTGTTGGATGTATAAATAGGGGAAGTCAAAGCGAATTTTGAGGTGGATTCTGAAGTGGATTCTGACTGGATTCTGATGTGGATTCTGAGACTCAAATCCTTCAAGATCAGTGCAAGTGGATCTTGATGTGGATTCTGAGTGGATTCTGAGTGGATTCTGACACTGTTGCAACTCTGGAGTTGAAACAGACTCAGGTGGATTCTGGGTGGATTCTGAGTGGATTCAGATGTCAACATCAGAATCCACTTCAAAATCCAATCAGAATCCACTCTAGAATCCACCTCGGAATTTGCTTTGACTACCCCTCTGACCCGACCTATACAAAGGCTACCTGGTACTCGGACGGCTCCCTTCTCGCAAGAACAGCAGACAGAGCAGCAGTTCGAGTGGAGAATGGCAGGGTATGTGATAGGATCCTTATCCCGCTCAGCGAGGGACAGGTCGCGGAGGGCAAAGTTGAGGGTATGGTCCATGCCTCAGAGCGTGCACTCCGAAGCAACGCGGATCAAATCTTGATGGTCACAGACTCCCAGGCTGCCCAGAAGGCGATTCTTTCCATGTGTCCTCGCACCGGCCAACATCGCGCCATCCGATTTGATGAGTTGGTCCGCTCTGCGTCGAAGAGACTCCCCGCTCTCCGTATCACTGTCCTATGGACCCCCGCACACGTCGGCACCTTTGGCAATGAACTTGCAGACGACGCGGCCAAGGCAGCTACACACCTCCCTCCACCCCAGTTGACCCCTGTCTCCCTCACCTCATGCAAGCGCGCTATTAACTGCCTTATCCTGGAACGATGGGCCGTCCTCTGGTGCCACTCCACTACAGGCCAGGGTCTCCATGACATTGATGACTCGTCGCCAACTCTCATCCTCCGTACCCGGTATCTCTCCATGGCATCTTGAGCGGACATATTGATCCTATCCCAACTCTGGACCGACTTCTCCCCCCTCAATGCCCATCGCTTCTGCTACCGCTTAGCCCCCTCACCAGCATGCGATGCATGCGGTGCCGCAAAGGAGACCCGTGCACTACTACATTGCCCGGTTACCGCCGCCCCCTCCAACTAGCATCATATGCTGCAGGGATCCTCGGCGCTATCGATGTCTGCACGCTCTTAAACCACCCCAAGCTACTGAAACCCGTAACTGAATTCATCTCTCAAACGGGGCGCTTCCGATAAGTCTCTCCACTTTACTTTTCTTTCTTTCGTATCTCAGGTCTCGTGATATCTTACTATACTTATATATATAATCCACGATCCTCACCCAACACCCAAGTAGTTACCTTACTGTATCAATCAGCCTGTGCCTCTCACCGATCCCCGCGCCCTACATATCTCTCCAAGTTTCCCAATACGTATTCACCTTTTAATATTATTCCCTCTCTTATACTTAGAAAATGGTCTCTCACCCCCCACTCATGTCCTCTTTCCCCACCCCCATGCTAGATTAATCTAGTTTAGTACTGCTGCGTAGCCCTTGGGCCAGGTACAGCATAAATAGAAATTCAAATCAAATCAAATCAACCCCTAAATATCGCTTCAACTCGCTACTAGCCTCATGAGCACCAACTGTGCCCAAGGATTCCAAGGTTCTGTAAAGTGGTTCTCAGGAAATTCCAGAACCAAGTTGCACACAGAGAATACTTACATGACGGACTCAAGACTGATTGGTCCCAGAATCCGTCATGCTGATTGATTTTCCATACAACAGGCTTAGAATTGGTTCAGCCGAAATCAAGTCTTTTGCTATGTATGTACAGAGTTTCTTATTTGATTCAATGAAAAGTTCAAAAGAGAGGGTTCCCATGGCAAAATAACGGACACCAAGGATGAAGACAAGAAAAAATACGAATTTTTCAAGCCTCCAACTGTACAGATTAAGAAAACGAGCAAATGTCGAGCATTGGTACAGCCACCTGATTGCAAGTCTCCACTCATTCCTTACTCATAGATCACAAACTCTCGCTTTGACTTCCTGACCATCAAATCTTCCCGCGGTTCTTTTGCTCCATTCTGCTCATTCTTCTCGCGAGTTCTGATACGGGTCTATGGGTCCGCAGTTCCGGAGTTGCCTTTTAGTCGATATTTAACTCCGCGAATGAAGAGAGACAAGATAAATGCTGGTTCGTTTTGTCTCCAGTGCCCTGCCTTCTGCAAGATCAACAAACGACAGGAGAAGATAAACTACTTGGCAGATCCGATCTGCTTCTCTCCTCGTTCTCAGGAGTATACCATTCGCTATGGTTTCTTACGTTGTCACAGAAGACGCAACAGAAGACACCACAACCCAAATCATTCATGACAGCTCCGAACATACGGTCCGCCATTCTATGCGCTACTTGAACCTGGTCAAAATATTACGCAGAGGAACGGGCATGCGCGTTTTCTGCGTCGGCGTCTGCGTCTCAGAGCCAGCAACAGACGCGCGTCTCAGCACGTTTTCGTTAAGCGTCCATCGTGCGCGGGACGGAGGCGGTGGGGTGGTCGGCGGGTTTGGACAACTCGGTTTGTTTTCCTTTGTAGCAGTAGCGACTGCAGCGGAGAACACACGGCTGAGAGAGTGACGTCCGCTTGAGGCAGCCTTCTTGGGGGGGGGTTTCTTGGGCGTAGCAGACGGCGATGGAGTAGACGGGGGGACGTCGTGGGGTGTTCCTGGGACGGCGGCCGCCCTCTGTTGGTCTTGACCTCGAGTGAATGTAGGAGTAGATTTAGGAGGAGACCGATAAAGAGGAGCAGGAATCGTAGGGCGCACTGTGTGGGACCGTGGTCTGGGAGGAAGTGGGCGTTTACTGGGAGGACTCGACGGGAGCGATCGGCGCGGGCGCGGAGTTTCGATAGCTGGGCGCTCCGGAGACTCTGGACGTTCATTAGGCAAAGAAGCAAAGCGAACGCTCTTAGTGCTCTTCAGAATGCTGCGTACACTTGTTCGCTGCGCTGGACGCGGTGGGAGAGGCGTCGATGGAGGGGCAGTCATAGTCGGAACCGGGCTTCGGTTTAAAGGCGCAGGACTATGCGGGAGGGATATAAGGCCCCGGCTGGAAGAGGAAGGGCTATCTGTGAGCGACTCTGCAGCATAGTCGACCATATCGGGAAGAAGAGGTTTTTTGACGAATTCTGAATCAAATGGCCGGGGACTGTAAGTATCCAGGAGGCCGTCCGCGAATGCCCATTCGTCGTCTTCTCCGTCTATCTGAGTCTGCTGCTGCCCTGAACTGAGCGGAGGAGCGCACTGCGATCGTAGACTCGTGACCATTTGTTGCAGATCCATCGAAGGGCGATTAGGGTGGGACGCAAATTCAAACTTGGGGGAGTAGGCTGAGGGAGAGCCGAGGAATGCAGTGGGAATGCTGGGGTATTCGTTCTCGCCCAGAGACGACGACGTGACTGACAACGGCGGTAGCGTTTTCTGGCCTCGGCGAGCCGCCAACACAAGAGGAGCATTTGGGGCCAGATTCCCGAACGATTCCAGTGACACCGGCAACGAGAAATGAGAATTCGACACGATCAGGGACGGCGGTGGCAGCGCGATTGAGCAGCCTGAAGCCTTGACCTCTTGCTCCTTGAAAAACGAGTTCAAGTTCTGGAGCTCGGAAATCATGTCTGCCACCCCTGGATCCATGGCCTTGGACGAGGCTTGAAGGGACATGCGAGTGGATCGGCCGCCAGAGTTCAAAATGATTTCGCGTTCGAAAACCAATGCATTTCGATTGGAGGATCTGCTACGGGAGGCAGTCATGGTTGGAGTCGCTTCTTGCTCCGTGGGCTCCGGTGAGCGAGTGCGTCGAGCGAGGGCCATTTTGGTCTTGAATACCTGCGGACTGTAGAGGGAACCTTCAGATTTCCAAGATGGCCGTTCAGCGTTGTCAATACCACCCCAGGGCGTATGCTCAGACGAATCGGAAGCGACGCCATTCTGGCGAGTTGGTGTTAGCAACGCAAGAATGTTATAAACGACAAATCATTTACGAGCCATGTCTCAACGAGCAACTTCTCTTTCAGCATTGTCCGAAGTCGTGGAGGAGTGGGCGAGGTAAGTGTCGCTTTGGGTATAGTGAACTTGCGCGGACAATAACGGCGAGACATAGTAGGACCGTCTTGTCCGATAATGGTAGCCAGCGGGACCATGCAGCCCGCGGGGATGGGTGGGGTAGAGGATGTGGACGTGGACAGAGAAGAGAGCGTGAGAGATTCAGACAGGAGTGAATCGTCGTGGACGAAAAGACTGACATCCAGGGATCTATCTGAGGGTAGGCCCGAGCCAGATGAATACAAGGAGGCAGTCATGGTCAAAAGCAAAGCAATGAGGACGGTGGCTGACGATCAAAAACATAAAATTTATTAAATAGCTTTTCTTTGTACGTTTAGTCGACGCGTGCTACTAGTACTAGTAAGACTGTAAGAAGACGAAAATAAGCTTTTGCTCTTCCCACTATGGACCTCGTTACAGCCGAGACGATAGAGCTGCATTCCGGCGTGATAATACGGGAATGGGAGCGTATCAAGCACGACAAGACCCCGTGCTTCACCCTGAAGCCATATCCAGGCTGGGGACGACCTCAATGCAACCATTGCAAGGCAGTCCTCGAGAATGTGGGTGCTGTTGAATAGCTTCTGGTTTCATTTCGCGCCGTGCTAAGAGCATGATGTATAGCCCAAGGTTTGCTCGGCGTGCAAGATGATCTACTATTGCTCTCCGCAATGCATAAAGAAGGGGTGGAAAGACCACAAAATCCATTGCGCCGTGCTCAAGGTCAGTCAAATGTTGCCCAATCGTCTCGAACATAACTTGCACTGAACACTGAACCAACAGCAAGACGCAGTGCACAACCCGAAAT